AGCAGACTCAGAAGCGTGTCGAGTTGCACAAGAGGAAGAGTTTAAAAGAAGTGACACCAACAGTTCATGCAGGAGAATGAGAGTCTAGTGGGAAGAAGATGAAGTCCTACACTTATGGAGCTATTAGCCAGGCTGGCAGTAGCACCGTACAGCCTTATGTTAAGTGTGGAAAGCAACATCGTGGTGAATGTTTACTTGTGTTAAAGGCATGTTACTTATGGAGACAACCTGGACATCAGAGGAGAAATTGCCCCATTGTTGTTTAGAGATCCACATTAGATGTTAATTCAGGAAGGGATCCAGTTCAGAGGAATTTTCAGGAATGATTTGTTTCTAGAAGTGGTTAGTTGAGGATACCAGTACTTGATATTGTGGCTCGAAAGAAGCAATCAAGGCAGAACATTCACTCAAGAGTTTATTCCTTGACTCCTCAAAAATCAAAAGAGTCTGTTGCCACTAATGTTGATACATAGTTTGATGGACGGTTTGTCTTTTGGGTGTTCTGTTGGATTTATCAAATATGGTTTAGTTACCACTTCACAAGAAACATATTTTTGTAATCACTTTTGTTACATCTTCATAGTTAATGTGAAGTTTATGGATTTCAAGGACGAAATTTTATGAGGGAAGATTGTAATAACTAAATTTTGAGAAATCAAATAAAATTTTGACAACATAAAATGTATCTTAATTTTTGCACCTCTCAGATTTCAATCAAAATAATCTTATAAAATTCTACACAAAAAAATAATCAATTCCATAGAAAGTATTGTATGTAAATTATGAGCGGATTGGAAGATATAGAAGTTCCAAGTTATATATTTAATTAACCTAATTAATCCTTAATTAGCACTCTCTAATATTATAATATTGTTCACAACCAACATTCTTTAGCCTTTTAATCCTAAGTTTGGTCGAATTGGGTTAAAGCTTTGCATTCTTTCCTCCCCTCCTATTTTTTTCTTCTCCTTGGCTCTCCGGTTTGCTTTGCAGACACTTGTCAAAAGACCTAAGGGAGGAGCTGCGATCGCAGCAGGCTCGCAGACGCGAGCTGAAGGGACGAGCGGTCACCTGGTAAACTATGACCTACTCCCCTCTCCCTATTTCCTCTCCTATCTTCCCCGATTTTACTCCCTGCTCCTTTCTCGTGCGGCAAAAGCAGCGAGGGAGCTGCGACTGTGTAAGGGCCACGGGCAGTAGACGGTTCATGGAGCATAGAGGAAGCCGCCATATGCAAATTAGGGCTCTAGGGTAATTTTTGTAAGTGTGAATCTCTTTTTCACGACATTTGAGGCAATCATGTTCTTCCTCGCACTTTCATTTTAAATTTTGGTAGCCATCGGAGGCGCTAATTGTGTGTCGGAATCGTCAAAAGTTTTTTTTGTGGCTTCCATAAGGATTCTAGCAAGATATCAACATAGCGGAAGTGTGATTGGAGGTGATAGAAAGTAAATTTAGCAGCTTTGGAGAATGATTGGTCGCCGAGCAAGCCGTTTAAGATATGTTTTAACAACTCATTTTTATTTTTGGTTAAATTACTTTATTAGCAAAAATATCTTTAAATCATAAGTTAATTGTGAATTTCATGTTTATACTCAGAGGCAAGAGTATGGGCATTCACTGTAAATGGACCCTATACAATTTAGGTAAATTAATATTAAGTTAAGAAGATTAATTTGATTAATATAAATTGTTTAAATCTTAAAAATTTAAATATTTGTTTTATAGGTTATTAAGCTTAACTTAAAATTCACTGCAACTTCCAGCTAATTGTCGAAGGTTAAGAATTTAGCGTGACAACTGAGGTGAGTAATGCATTTCTAAATTTTAGTAATCTTCTTTTGATTGTATATTTGACTTCATGTATGTTCTAGTTTAATCAGATTCTTTGTATTTATATAAAAGATATGCATGATAAACATAATAGGAAAAGATGTGCATGCTCGAAACATATGCATAAAATGAATAATATTTAGATAAATATTATATGTAAGATAGACATGTAGGAACTTTATGCATGATATAAAACATATGCAATATATATGAATGATATGAAAGATATGTTCGATAAAGAGTTGCACAACAAAATAAATATGCATGTTAGTATATGCATAAAAATGTCTCAGAATAATGTGTAAAGAATAAATTAGTTTATATGTGAATTCTTGCGTGTGCATGTCCATAATAAGATTTCACCCCCTAATGGTATAAACAAAAGATGCCAATGTACCCACAAGCATAAAGTTTTTTATCCCCCCCCCAGATAATTGTGATGATTAGATCACTAACCGATGTGCCGACGTGATAATATCAACGGGATAATATTGGTCAGGGGCGAGTAGTCCAGAGTTTACCTCTCCAGATAATTGTGATATTTACATTGCTAAATGTTGTGCCTACAGAATAATATCGGTCAAGGGCAAATAAGGGCGTTTCCGCCAAAGACAATTGCATTGTGTAAATCGCTAACTGCCGTGCTGACGGGAGCCAACGAGGTAATATTTACTAAGGTTGTGTTTGGTTGTTGACGGCGATCCTCACAGAGACAGATGCGCATGTAAAGTATAAAGTAAATGCTTGTAGTAGGTGGAGTATGTTCATTTAGAAAGATCATTGATGCATGCATAAACATTTATCAGATTACTTATAAAATTATTAAAGACCAGCATATTATAAGATTTCTTATAGAGTAAAATAAATATTATATTATTTTTCTTGGATTATTGTATTTTATATTACTCCTGGGTTATCTTTAAATGACTCATTATGATGCTTCAATATTATTTTTAAGTTTTAAACATTTAAACAAGTTGAATAAAAGAGAAGCAGATACGTATAGAAAACGAGAACAACAAACGAAAAGGTACAAATTTTCATTTGTTAATTTTAATTGTTTTATTTAGTAGCTTTTTCATTTATTATTTAAATATTAAATTGTTAGTATTGAAATTTGAATAACTGAGAATTGAATCCATCGTCCGACCTTTCGTTCATGTCTTGGTTAACTCCAAACCCTAGGCCGGGTCATGACTCCTACCTAATTAGGTTGAATCAAACGCGTGGTTCCTTCTCGTAAGAGGCATGACTGCACCGTATGTTGTGATCCCGTTGTTTCTTCCTCAATAAAATTGCGATTGTAGCTTCATGTTGATTCTGGCCACAATCTTGTCGATACTGTTTTGTGACTACAGGTAAGCTGCTATACTATCGTACTTCTTGTGGCTAGAATCTGCGAACCCGTCATTGATTTTCCATGGATCGAGAGCTACGATTTTCTGCAGAAATTAGGGCAAACACATATTTTCTTGCAAGAACATCAAAAATTCAACATGAATACAAAGATAAACACTTACAATTTGAGAGCTAGGTGATCTCTCAATCTTCCTACAATTCGAGAGTTAATCTCTCTCAAACCTTAAATCTAAGACTCGACACAGTAATCTCATGCATACCCCCAACCCTAAGCATATTAGGGTTTATTTATAAAACAATAATAAATAATAATAAATTCAATTGGCCTTAGGCATAAAAGACAAGATTGCCTTAGGTTAGGCAGTGGTGTAACATAGTCTTAATTTATTGGTTTGATATTTATAATGCATCTTTTAGTCTGTGCTCGACAAATTATTTGATATAAAAAAACCAATAAATTTTGTTAGTCTTGTTTTTACATCGGAGCAACTTCATAGTTAGGAGAAGATTATTATTTATTTATTTCTCAATCCTTTTGCTCACACTTTTTGCTTTCTCTTCTCTCATAACCGGTCACTCTCTTGCATATTTGGTACACTAACTGAGCTTTGTATTCTCTCTAAAACCCATTTTGATGGCTCATTGAAATAAGAAAAGCCAGCTTTCTCTCCTATATTTTTACAACTTGCGATCAGACCTTTCTAGTCTTCTTAGTTCTCCAGTTCTATTGTTTATATTTACTTCCTAGCTTTATAATTCTCTGGGACTTTATTCTCAGCCTTGGCGTTTTATTCATACTTTTTGCTTTGGGTTTAGTTATCTCTATGCTGAACATTAGGGTCATCTGATTACAGTAAACCTTCCTAACCTGATTTTGTATTTTTTTTACTTTTATTTTTTTTATAATTATTTAATTAATATAATACTAAATATTCTATGAAAATTAAGGTTTTTGATCATATGGATGCTCTCTGACCTTAGAAAAATCAAAGAAGGTTCCCATGTCATTAGGAACAAGCCCATTGAACAATTAGGGTTTTACTTCCTAGCTTTCTAATTGTCAACAATGACCTACCCATTGAGCAATTATTAGAGCTAGAATATCCCAATGCTCAGCATTGGGAAATGTACTTCGTTAGAGCTTCATTTGCCTACAAAGACAAAGAAACACAAGCAATTAAACCCTGTAAAGCATAAGTCAAACTAATCTTCATCACTCCAGGCCAAGTGATGTTGCGTTTTGTATTGTTCTAAATTCGACTCGCCTATCAAAGAAGCAATCTTACCATCCATATAGGAAGCTAAACCACCGCCAAGCACCAAATATATAATCAAAGCTCAATGCTCTCGGGTTTATTTCTTATGTAGCCATGGGAGGTCTTGGAGAAGCTTGGTTTTGATTGGAGAGGCTTGGGTGGCTCCTTTGGGATGTCTCAAAGAAATCTATGGTGGTTTTTGTGATTGCCTGCCTTCTCCTGCATTATATTGGGATATTGTTCTGTTTTGTTTGATGTTTGAGGCTTTCGTCTTTACTTTGTTCTCCATTGACGATTGTTTTTTTATTGGGGGTTGTTTTCACCTTTTTAGCTTTCTCTTTTTGTTTCTTGTGTTTCCTATTGTATAAGTTGAGCTAAAATCTTTTAAAATACCTCACTGAAATGTGCTCTGGAGTTTATGAATTTGTGATTATTTTCTTAGTTCATTTCTTGTTGGAAATTAATTTGCTCATTTTTTAGCACCTAATATGTGTTATGTTCTGCCAATATGTTCCTAATTTGGCATAATCCTTTTTCATGTCATGTTTGAAGACCCTTAGAAGAATGGCCGCATATGCTCGAAGCAGTGCCGACCTCTTGACAAAATTAATTCTCCAAGGTCAAAATGGTCCTTGCACTTGGGAGGTAACTGCTACAAATATTTTCATGACTAAAACCTCTTAACATTAACTAAATTGAGCTCACTTCGTTCCCTCTTTCCTAATGATAGTGTTTATTCCGTACACCGATGAATAACTATGATGCAGTCATCGTTCTCCATCGAGACAAACTTTCGTATCCTCAACGCCTTCTTTTCCCCGCCTCCACCGTCCATGGTTAATTTTTTTGGGGGCATCTACATACATACCACCTAATTATTATGTATTTGTATGCCTAGCACCGAAAATTTTTTACATTTATGCCACCGAAATCATTCATATCACATCAAAAATACCACTGTGTTAACTTATAAAATGTGGAATAAATCTTTTCATACATAGATATAGTGGCATATATATGTAAATATTAAAGTTTAGGTGTTAAAATATGTAACTACATAAGAATGGAGTGGTATGTATGTAAATCTTCCTAACCTTTTTTATAATTTCAATGAAATTTGATCTCAGCTAAAATCTCAAGCAAAATGCAGTGTAACTAACCCATAGTAATCTTGCAGGGAAACATGTAATTCAGGGAAGAGCAAGCAAGGATTTCAATCCTTTCATTGAGGTTGGTGGTGCAGTACAAAGCTTTGAGGATGTAAGAAGCAAGCTGCTGGTGAATTTTGACCCAACTGTGTTCTTCCTGCAAGATCTCAAGGTCCTAAAACCTGTAATAACTATTCATGATCTGATTAATCATTTAACCAACTGCTCATATAAATTTGGTCTGTTATTTGATCTGCAGGAAGAATTTCCTGAAACTTTTAAGATATGGTATGACTCTCTCGGTGGGGATGCAATCGGCCTGACATGGGATTTGAAGGTACATCTCTTTAGTTTTTTGCCGAATTGTCATTAATGTTCTAATAAGTGATTCAGTGCCGGCGATTAGAGCTTGTGGATGAGTGATTGGGAGTTTTAGTTATTTGGTCCTCGTGGCCGGTAACATTGACATTTTGGTGCTCATCATTTTCAAAAATAAAAGGAAAATTTTGCATACATACATACCATACAATTCTTATGTATTTTGGACAAGGAGGCACTGTGACTGATGTGCTTTGGTGGATATTTTGCAGAGACGCAAGCGGGAGAATGATGAGCATGAGATCATAAAAAAACTTAAAGGTGTTGGAGAGGTTGGAAAAGGTTTTGTGAAGAGTGTATATTTTCTCAAAGCGCCTAAATTGCAGGTTTAATACTTGTATTAGTTTTGCTTAGTAGGGTATTTTATTATTATTATTATTCGGCAGGAAAATGATGGCCTATTCTTATTTTTTGGGGTTTAGTAAATTATTGGTCCTTATTGTTTTATTGAAAACAAGTTTTGTAATGTTTTATTCCTTAATTTCAGATTATCAGACCACCAAGAGTGATTTGCATGTTAATGTGAATTTTTTTTGGTGTTATGTAAATACATGAAAATTGGGGGGGATAAATGTTAATGGCCCAAAAAAAAAAAAAAAAAAAAAAAAAAAAAAAAACTACAATTATAATTTTGCAGGAAATTTATTTTGTCAAAGATTTTCTTTAAAAAAAAAACACTACATTATGTATTTTATTAAAAGTGACATACAAATGTACTGCGAAATTATTTATTTGTTATCGTTTCATTCATAACTACATGTTTTTGTTTATTGTTTTTTTCCCTAAAAAACACGCACTGTAGAAAACATATTCATCTATCTTATCTGCAACCAAACAGCAGTCACTGTTTAGGGTTTGGGGTAAAAAAATAACCAGATCAGTCGATCACATAAATCCGCGAAGCAATGTCCTGAACGAGCCAATCAAACCCCTGGAACAAACCTCCACCACTGTAAGCACTGCAGCCAATAATATTCCAATGCCGGCTTCTATCCAAAGCATCCAGATTTAGAACCTGAAAGAAATTTAATATGAATGAGAGAATTCGTTCATGCCACATCCATATTTACTTAAATTATTTGCATTTGTAAAAGGGTAATTGCAAATATGGCTTTGAGTTAAACTTACTTTTGCAATCTCAGAGGGCTTAAGGGCACTT